GAGTCGGTGAACTTGAAAACGGTTCAAATAGAAACTTTCCTAACTTTTCCCAAGAGAAAAAAAGAATTAGAAGTTTAAGAACAGAACCCAGGACTGTGGGACAATTTCAAAAGTGGTTATGTTCGAATAATTGGAATAATAGATGGAGAAGATACAGCTAATGAAGAAATATTTGAAGTAAAATGGCTAACATTTTTCTAAAATTAATGACAGACATCAAGCCACAGATCCAGAAAGCTCAGAGAACACTAAGCAGGATAAATACTAAAAATATCTAGTCATACCATATTCAAAATGCAAACAACCAAAGACAAAATCTTTAAAGAAGGTGGTGGGCAGTAAAGCCCTAGGAAAGGAGACCATCTTACCTACAGAGCTACAAGGACAAGAATGACAACAGACTGTTTTGTCAGAAACTGCAAGCGAGAAGAGTTGGGTGAAATATTTAATGTTGAAAGAAAAAATTCACCAACCTACCATTCTATATCCAGCAAAATTATCCTTCAAAAGTGGAGTAGAAATGAAGACTTTCTCAGAGAAACAAAATGCAAGAAAATGCACTGCTAGCAGGCCTAGACTGCAAGAGATGTTAAAAGTTCTTCGGAAAGGAGGAAAATAATATAGATCTGAAATGTATATCTTTATAACTAAAAGTAAAGTATAGGTGAAGGAATAATAAGAGTCTTGCCCTCGATTTGATAATCTTTCAACATTACAAAACCTGTATGTCTATACCACAGTACAGCCATAATAGACATTAGATTTAAGTAGGTGTTTCCCTATGAGGATTTAAAAGTGCAGCCTTTATTTTAGGTGGTCCTGATGAAGGTTTTATTGTCTCTCTTCTTGAGATAACTGTTGGAGATAGTATAATGCAATCTATATACAAAGGGAAGCTAGAGATAGAATTATCAGAGAAAGAAAAATGGATAAATAAGAGATTCTGTATCTTATTAAGCTGAATGGCAACTATTGGATAAACTGACTGCTTGTGATGTCATTTAACACCTGTATCCTCAGGAATTAAAGCAGAAATTCGTGAGGAAAGACCAGAGATGTTGACTCGTGCAAGGTCACACAACTAGCAAATAGTAAAATTGGAATTCAAATCCACATCTTACTCTGCATTGCCATGAATTACAAATAAATTATGAAAATCCAGATTTTTCATAAGCGCATGATTAATAAGAGAACCTTTTATAATGTACAAGAACTAGACACCAGGATGGTGCTTTTGTGACTTTAAGGAATTTCTGCAGCTTTCCAAAGTACCTAAGGAGAAGCTCAAAAAAAAAAAGACAACCAGTGACAGTTGTGTCAAGCTGCTAGTCATTGAATTACAATCCAGAGTTCACTTGCCCACACTCTTCTAGAAAAGACGGCACAGTAGGACTTTTGTGCAGGAGTCAGTTTCCTCGCTCCCTGGAATAGCTTACTTTAGCAGCAAAGACCTCAGAAAACAGACCTGGCTACCATTCCCCCGGGCATCCTTCTGCTGATTAATCCTAACAGCTGGATCACGCCAGCTGGAAAACATCCTCCCTCCTCTGGACTGGCCTAGCACTTAATTCCTATACCGTTCATCTGATATTTAACATGCATTGTGTTGCACTGGTGATATTTTTTAAGTGCATTTATTCTTGTCTTCCTATGAAAATTCTAAGCTATTTGAGGACAAGGTTCTAACATATTATCTTCCAAAGCACCCAGCAGCAAGCAGGATGCCTGGTAGATGTTCCAGCAACACTGGTCTAGTGATTGTCCACTGATGAAAGGAAAGTTGTCCAAGTTTTCAGGCAGGAAGGTGATGAACTATAATGAGGAGGTGACCCTCAGATCACAAGCAGCAGCATGTTTGTTCAGAGGGCGTCCATTCCTCTATTTGATAAGCATATCTGTACCCATCCAGCACTAAGAAAATGGGAGATGCATATTCGGAAGAATATGGCCATTAAGAGCAAAGCAGAATTAATCACTCTTCCTGGTGGGCTCCATCTTTTGTTGATATTAATACAGCATTATCATATTGCTCTAGCTAGTTATTTATGTATTTACCTTTCTACCTAGACTATGAATTAAAATGTTATGTCTAAAATGTGTAATTTGCATTTATATTTTGTCCCATTTCACAAACAATTAGTCTTCTATCTGATAGAAGCCAGTAGCTCTAAGATTCCTGGTCATTTAACAGGGGTGCAGACAACACCTGCCCAGTGAAATCCTTGGAGTTAAAAGCTGAGCACCCACATTTTCTCTGGCAAATTCCCTTTGATTTTGGCCCTGGTCTGCTTACTCCTCAGGTACCTAACTTCTGGTTATGGCTTTATTATCACCACCCACAGAGGCTTTGGTGTTTTGCAGTCTTTTTCCAACATCCTGATTCTTTAACTCACCAACTAGCTTTTGGTTCAAGCTTTCACATACTAGCATTAAATGTGTCCAGAAGTGCCATCCTTCTTGACATGGCCCAATAGGGTGAGTGTTCACTCCCTTCCAAGCACTATGAACATCCTACTGACACAGAGATAAGCAGTCTTTCAGATAATTCCATCAGTGCTATCCAATTGAACTCCATGCAACGATGGAAGTGTTCTACATCTGTGCTATCCAATCTGGCAGCCACTAGCCATATGTGGCTATTGAATCCCTAAAATGATAAGAGCAACTGATGAAATGAATCTTAATCTCATCCCATTTTAATTCATTTAAACTTAGGTAGCCATAGTGACCAGTGGTATCTGTATTGGATATTCAAGGGAGAAACAAACATATTACATGTATAAAAAAAGACAACTTCGCAGGTGCTCTGTTCATAGCATGAACAAAACACTGTGTGAGCAGAGTAAGGAACAATGAATTTTGCCTCAGAAGGCTGGGGAATTACAGCAAAATCGATGGCATGAAAATTGCAATGTAAGCAACAAAATATATTTCCTCAAAGAAGATAATATTAATAAATGCTACAAAGGAAAGATAAGGTAAGAAAGATAAAACCTAAGGAGTTCAGGAGTACACAGTCAAAAGATAAAACTGGGAAGACTGGTCGGAGCCAATGATTTCTAGAGATGTGGTATCAGATATGGCAGATACAAGCCACATGTAGCTATGTAAGTTTAAGTTAAGTCAAATTAAAAGACTCAATTCATTAGTTGTTCTAGCTGTATTTCTGGGATTCAATAGCCACGTGTAGCCAGTAGCTACCATATCGGACAGCACAGATATGGAGTATTTCCATCACTGCAGAGAGTTCTAATGGACTGTGCTGCTATAGAGTTTTGTGGTTGGTTGTTTGTATCTTTGGTTTTGTTTTTAATTCCCCTAATGGAGTGGAGGGAGAAAGGATGAAGGAGTATAAAGCAGTGGAAACTGTCAACGGGCCAGTTAGGCTTTGATGGGGGGAGAGAATGAGTCAATGGGCACCTGCTCTTTCCAGACAATAACATTCCTTTCCGAGCAGTATCATCGCCACTGAACACCCAACACTACACCTTATTAAACTCTGGGCCAGCCCCGATTCTGCACCATTTGGCAAGAAAATCCTAAGCACGGAAAGGAACATGTGGGGATGAGGATCTGAAAGTATAATGGAAGAATAGTGGTAAAGAAATAAATATTCACCAGGTGTTTTTTTCATAGGATTTGAAAAAGAATCAGATATCTGATGCATTTTTTTTCTGTTCCTTTTTCACTTTCGAAGGCCTCATACTGATCGATGACTATGAGGCGTTCCCAATTCTCCATGAGACTTGCATCCAGGCCAGCAAGCCTCTGCTACAGAGTCTACTCAGAATCACACACACACGCACACACACAGATGTGCTCCAGCTAAATATACTCTCCATTCCTGAGTTGGGCTATTGTCCCCAAATTCTTCTCTGCTTGCCTACTTGGAGAAGCTGAGCCTGACAACGTGGGACTCTCATGTCCCCTTCATTGCTCTTCCTTAAAAATAAAAGACAGCTTCTTAGTAGTTAACCTTTTTCTTTCTTTCCTCTGGGCCTTGCTCACAGTTTCTTCTTGCTAAGCAGTTCTCAAAGACTCAACAGTTCTTTTGGGAGGACGATGATGTCAAAATCATTTTTATCATATTACTAAGGTATCATTTACCCTTTTTACTCTTATTCTTTCATGAACATATGAGGTATTTTCCTGAAGCCACATGTATGATGATGCTATGGCTCTGATGGTTAAGGCAAGATGTGTTTGTGTGTTCTTGAGTTTTCTGTATTTTTTTTTTTTTAAGGCCATAGGTTTAAAATACAAACCCACATACTTGGTTCCTCAGGACCTGTAAGATTTTGCCAGCATCTTCCTATTAGGTCTATAATCTGTGTCATCTACTGTCCAATAAATTGTTATTTTTAAGTCCAAGTTTTCCTCATATCTATGCAAAAGTACAAAAAAAATTTTAGTTTTGCAAAAGTATTTTTAATTTTTAAAACTTTTCTAAGTTTTATTTAGAGGACAAGGTTCTAACATATTATCTTCCAAAGCA